TTTCTCAGAATGCATGAGGACATGTTAAATTGAGATGCACCCGTTTACCTTGAACTATATAGAGATGTTCTCTGAAACGATGGTCATTCTAAACTTGAATAATAAGCTACAAAAAATAGGTTTAATAGGAAAATAGTTATTTTCTAGTCTACAAAAATAGGTTTAAAAATTTTAACCTGTGGCCTCAATTTAATAGTTTATTTATGAAATATGCAATAAAATACATCTGTACATTTGAAAACAAACGGAATCAAAATATTAAAATTAATGTTAAGTCTTAATAAAAAATAAATAATAAAAAGATGAAAAATAGGAAACCAAAACTATAAACGAAAAATAGAAAATGTTATCATAACTGTAAAACTAATTTTTATTCATGGTACGTGCAAAAACACAATCATGTTAAGCAGTGTTATCAGTATCAGGATAAGGGTAAATTTAATAATGAAGATTCAGAGTACATTTATTATGATAATAAAAGACAAATAAGTTAAAACCAAATGGAGATAAATAAGTTTAGGGCAAATATTAAATACGAAACATTATGTCTAACATTTAACATTATAGTTAGTTAACCTTAGTTATTTTCGTAATTGGGTAATACATTTCAGACTATTGCTAGCCCCTAAATTGTAGAATTAAGAACTATCCATGTTTTGTAAAATTATTATGTATTGCACAAGCAGAGTACAGTTTTAAATACCAGACGATAATAAGAATTTTTTACAAAACAATTCTGAAAAATAACAGGAGGCTGTAAATCGTAACGTCGTTTTTTTGACCAAACCTCGAGATACTACTAAATTCAATTTCAGTGACATCTATTTAAGTGCAGTAGTGATGTGTCTATGAATAAATCGATTATGCAAAATACACGGGAATAATCTGCGTTGGGATGGGTCGTTTGCGGAATATTTTCTAAGAAGTTTTTTCAAGTTTTTTCAAAACAGGCTAAAATATTATATTGGATATTTAGTGCTACCAGCTTCACGTGACATAAAATATTACGCCTTATTGTGTAGTCTCAGCATTCTTTATTCACAGATAGTTCCAGTTAGCATGACCTTCATCCAGCAATACTTTTTTATTGATGTATTATGCCTAAATATTTTAAAAATTTTATTTGCTACCTAGTTGTTAATCTGATGAAAACTTCATAACAGTTTCCATCAATAAAATGTTGACTTGCTAGAATTTAACAAATCAAAGTAAAAACAAAACAGAAGAATTCAAAAAAGAAACAAGAACTCGATGCATCAAAATATAAGAGGAAAAAAATAAATAAAATAATTCAAAAATAAACAAAACGCGATGTGTAACATCTTGTTTTACTTTTATTATCCCAAAAGGGATAATAGTCTCGAAATGGAATTTGCATCGGTTCACTCAAGGAGGCTAGAACAGATAGAGTAAGCCTCCTGCGTATGTCCCGTGCAATGATAAGAAGCCATGAAACGTCACGGTATGATGTCATGACTTATCATGGCCGTTGTCACAGGAAAACAGGAGTCACTGGTTGATTTTCTTTACATTCTACTTACTAATCAGTGTTGTCTACGTGTTAGCTTTCATCATTAAATGTTTATAAATCTCCCTTTCTAATTTTAATACTTAATATAAATGATTTTCTGCTTAGCATATAGAAAAATCACAAGGACTGCAAATAACGCTTTCAAATTTAATAAAATCTGAGAACATGAAAATGTGTAAATGATAACTGTAACGCAAATGTATATGTGGTAACACCTAAGAAAGTCAGTGGGTGTTTCAATGGTATTTTATACAAATTATGCCTAAAACACGTTACTGAGCCTGCAGACTTTACATTTGCCTTCAAATTCAGTGTAATTTTATATAATAATATGTTTCATAGTCTTAGCACTGCCGTTTATAGTCTTGACTTCGTGTTGCTGACATTTCCTTGGTTCCATTTTTGCGTCAGGCTTACTCTTTAAGACGAATCTTTTTCCAAATTGTTGCCACCAAATGCTACAGCCGATGTAGTATTATTTTTGAATTTTTGAAGGAATTAAATAATGAAGAATCTGTGTATATATGTTCCTCGCCTTGTGAAAAGACGACTGTACTTAGAGCTATCAAATACTGGATAACGTATTCCTCCACCCGAAAATGTAAAAAACTTTAAGTCCGAGTTTTAAATTTTAAATTTGTTTTATGAATTTATTTCGTACTTTGTAAAACTGTTATGAATTTTCGAATAAAAACTCGATGATTTGGAAAACTGCTGGAAATAAAACACTTTTATCTCCAGCACGCGAAACTGTTGCCGTTCGGAAAAATGTAAGATATTTATCTTTCAGTTTTTATTAAAAACTTTGGCTCTATGAAAGCAACTTGTTGCAGCGGCCGGAAATAAAAGAACTTTATTTCCCACCCACCAATGTGTTGCCATTCACTAAAACCTACGATATTTTCAAATTTAATCTGGAAGGTTATTGAGTAATAAACTAAGTGATTTAAAACCAGTAAATAGAGCTATTAGGAATTTTTTTTCTATTTTTTAATATGCTTGTTTTAAATAAACATGTATTCAAATCAGGAGATATATATATAATGATTTTAGTGAGTGTATATATATATATATATATATATATATATATATTGAGCTGCAAAATTTTAAAAATATTTGCAAAGAAGAGGAAAGTTTAAAAGCTAATGCTAAAAAGTACATTTGACACTGTAGTTCTTGTGCAAAATAGTTACAAGTTTTACATTTACAATTTAAATTGCAAGCGCGTCGGGAAAAGAAACAATAGAATTGAGACTTACTTTATTAAGATAATTAAGTTTGATTTTTCTATTAATGAAATTACGCTTTCAGTCAAAATTTTTATCGTTTGAAAAAACGCGCTAACAGTGTTAACTTAATTTGAGTTTTGAGCCGCTTTTTCCTTGATAAGTCCGATTCAAACCTCGGGTTGGGCTAATTTATCACTTTTTGCAATTCTTTGTACATATTTACTGTGTATTTGAAATGCTTTTCCTCATCCCTTTTTGATTTTGAAGTTATCTCGTTTCGTAATTTTTATATTAAGTTTTTACACGATAATTTAGACTTCTTTAGTATTGTTAGTTGTTTTTACATGATGTAACTATTTTGCACAGGAACTACAGTGTCAAATGTATTTTTTAGCATTAGCTTTTAAACTTTCCTCTTCTTTGCAAATATATATGTTTTCAAATATTGTGGATTTTGCTGTTGAATTGAATTTGATGTGGTGTAAGTGAAAAGAGGGTGATATTTAATAAATAAGGTTAACAGATAAAGACTTAATATTAAAAAAAACACAAAAAGATACTCTTTGTTAGCCATCTTAGTAAGAAAGCTGAATATTAATATTATGAACCAGGAAAAGACTGAGAAAATACTTTTATATTTAAATATTTATTATGTATGCCAAAACTTAGCACTATAACGGGAATTCTAAACAATTACAGCTTTTAAACATCTTGTGATTTGTTGTTAAACTGCGAAAAAAAAAACGGTGCTTAATAATAAAGTTAAAGGGATAAAAATAAATAAATAAATGAACCTGAAAATAATAAATCTGAAAGATTTCAGATTTTAACTGTCGTTCAAAAGCGTTTGTTAAAAGTTTTTTAAGCCCTCGTTGAGCTCGCAATCTACCAGTTTTCTATGAAACGCACTCCTGCTAATCGATTTCTTTTTGTCATTTTACCTTTATTATTAAGCATCATTTCCTTCGTCATATCCAGTTCAACGGTAAAACTACAAAAATTTTAAAAGCAGCATAGCAGCATATGTTTAGAATTCAATTATGCAGTGTTAAGTGTTGGCATACATTTTTCTACTTTTTGAGTCTTTTCTCAGTTCATCATAATAGTATTCAGACGATACTTACTAAGATGGCTTGCAAAATATTTTTTTATCTTTTAATTATTAGCGTTCTGTGCGTTAACTTTACTTAATAAATACCACGTTTTTTGCACTTGAACCACATAAAATCCAGTTCGAGAGGAAAATCTGAAAACATTTAAAAACAGCGTATATTCAGAATTTCCGATAGATAGTCTCGCGCCCTGGAGGTAAAAAATGTTTCATTCCGTACAATGTTGCCACTGCTCGCTTTCAAATCCTTGAATTTGTTAATCAAAAATTCATTAAAATTAGAAATTAAAAAACTGGGCTTTCAGGTTCCCATGTTCGGGTAGAGGACTACGTCATTCAAAACTTGACGGCCTTAGGTACCGTTGTTTTTACACAGTGCATGCATAGGAACATTGCATTTGAACATGCATAGGAAGGCGAGGAACATACATGCAAATTCTTCCTTATTTAATTTCTTTAAAAATAATACAGGCTGATAATATTTGGTTACATCAATTTGAAAAGTGATTTGTCGTTTATAGTGGACAGCGAAAAATCCAGTTTTGAGACTAGCAAACCTTTCATGTTTTTTTAAATTTCTAATCTCATATTTTGATGTCTTCAGTCCTTGTCTTATTTTGGATAAATTTTCTTTCCTTTCTCACTTTCCGCCAAGACTTAGTTTTTCCGGAAAGACCATGTATATATTTGTATTATTTATTTCATTGCTAAGTTGTTTTTAGCAGGTACTCTTCTGTTATCGAGACCGGATTCAGAAATCTACATATGCATGCATGTATCGATGTATGTGTACATGTATGCATGTATAGATGTGTGTACGTATGGTATGTGTAGACACACATATACGCATACGTATACATACATACATACATTTCTAAGTCCGGTCCCGATAACAGAAGAGTACCTTTTAGCCTTATAGTACTTCATCAATAGCATATTTGTTGAATCCTATTACATGATAGTATTACATAATATTCAGCATTTACTAATTAATTTAAACACAGGAAATTATATCAAGATTAAAAATCATAAAATTGTTCTATAGGATGATTAATTGTCCCTTTTTCTAAATTTGCTTTTCATAATTTATGTAAATTTGTTCACGATCTTCTTTGCATTTTTCTCTCAGTTTGACTGGGTTTACTATCTGAATACATTTCTTCCCACAAAAATTGACGACCAGGAGCCAGTGGTGGTTTATGCTCTACCATATCTGCAGGAGATGGGGCAGATTATCTCTCAAGCTAACCGACGGTGAGTGATTTGATTGTAAAAGATTTTCAATGTACCTCATATATTAAATCCCAAAATACACTGCATCATTTATTATTGTGAAACCAAAACGTTTCTTTACATTATTGCTATAATCTTCAAAGAACTTTATAGCTATCTTCGAGTCTATACTGGACCTATACTTGCAGCTTTCCTTTGTATTTTACAAGAGCCTCTTAATGCATTCCGCAACTACATTAACACGCTTTTTTTATATATCGACCGATCCTATTGCTTCTATTGAACTGATGAAATTATTTGTGCATATTTACTGTATAGTTAATGGTCCTTAATGAGATACAGTTTGATGACCTCGGAGACCACGTGACTTATGCTTAACTAATTTAAATAAACAAGATAGACGACCTCGGAGATCACGTGACTTATGTATAGCTAATGTAAGCAAACACGATCATTCTTTCTCTTCTTCTCTTGAGGAATGTATCTCGTTATGAAGTCACCTAATGTTATTACATTCAAAGCTATTACAAAAATTGTAGATTCAGTCTGACATTTATACACCTGTAATGTAATCTTAGCAGCGGGTCATGGGTAGTTGTCATACACACAAAGACTATTATTGCTTTCATATGAACAATAAGATAGATATGTCGTCCATTTTTTATTCATCAAAATAGAAAGAAGTCCCCATATTGCTATTTTGGAAGGCAGAACTTTCTTATACTATTAAAGTTGAAAATTCTACAGATTTTTAGTTAATCATTTTATCAGATAATAAAAAAACATTATGCGTGTGACGTTATTATTCAAGATGTACCTTTAACTATAAAATACACATGGAGAAAACAATTCTCAAAATTATATTTTTCGAACGAAAATATTAATTTTAAAATATACACATCGACTTCAACTTCATATAATATAATTTGCCTTCTTAATAGTATAATTATCTAAATTTTAGTTTCCTGTACAACAAGCAACATTTAAGATGCCATAATGGTAGTCAAATGCATCACCATTAAGAAACAGTGATTTCCTAAAATATCATACTCAATCTATAGTGCTGGAAAATCATTATCTGTAGAATGACATTTGATAATATAAATTGATTAAATACTCTCTAATATGTAAAAGACAGTCATAATCATTGCACTGGATGCAGCTTTATTGGTAATATGTAATAATTATATGTACGCATGCATGCGAACTCTCCTATTATTATAAGTACAACTCTTATTGTCACTTGCATTTTTCCCGTATTTGTTACAATAATCCCAAAACGATATAGATAATAAATAATGTTACATTTCTTTTAAAATAATTGTAATATTTTGAAAGAAATTAATATTTTACCTAAATAACCTAAAGACAAAAAGCGTGTAGGTTTTCATTGATTCTTTGGTTCATACAAAACTCTTTTAGTTCATAATGTTCTAAAAAATTGGCATATAGCTTTTTTGAAGGCCTGAGATTAACTCATAAAAACACACAAAAGCAGAATAGAAGCGATAATATAGTAGTCAAACGTATCGCCATTAAAAAACAGTGACTTTTGGTGATGCAGAATGAGCACTTTGTACCTGATCATTCGTATTTTCGTACCTGATCATTTTTAAACAATTTGTTTCCTTTTCGCAGGACAATCCACAACTATGCCATCTGGAGACTCATTAAGCATATGATTCCGTTTCTGGATGGTGAATATAGTCAAAAACGGACCGAGTTCAAGAAAGTTCTGCTAGGGATATCTGCAGAAAGGGAACGTTGGAACCAGTGCGTTGATCTAGTTAACAAGAAAATGGGTATGGCAGTCGGCGCCCTCTTCATCCGGGACAATTTTGATCCTAAAAGTAAAGAAACGGTGAGTACACAAACTTGAAAGCATTCAAAAATGATATTTCTACATTATAAATTTAAAAATAATCCAGATTCATTATACTATATATTAGGTGGTATTTTCATTTATTATTAGTAGATTGCTGCAGTTATATACATATTGAACTCACACATAATTTAAAAACATATCTAATAAAAATTGCTTTCAGCACCGTTAAAGACTAAAAGAATGTTCATGCATATTGCTTGAAAGTCAAAAATTCAAATTATGACGTAAGAAAGGTATAAGATATACAGGATCGATTCAGATTATTATGGCCATCACTCAGCGCGGTTGCTACTCATGAGTGATAAATCACAAAGTGTACTCGCGAAACGTTTATACGTCCCTTGCATATAATGTACGATATTCGTTATTCTTGAGTAACAGCTTGTTACGGACAAAAAGCACAAGATGGCAAACAGCACATGTATTACAGATCTTGTGCTTAAATTCGACACACAATTAACAACACAATCATCTCATTTAACAACACAATCATCATTTGATAGGACAGTTTGATAAATCTTCACTTTTTCCACTGGCAAAATTGTAGATTCAGTCTGACATTTATATACCTATACATAAAGCCTAAAAAAGAGCCTCAAGCCTAAAACAAAATGGGCTAGTTTTAACAATCTAATTTTCAGCATATTTAAATTTAAAAAAATAAGTTTTGTGAAGACTGTGAAATCTAACTTTTTATACGTTCCTCCGGTTCCTATACTTAGAAAGATTTAGACATGAGACCTTTAAGAAAATGTTGTACTCCTTAAACACAAAAAAAGTTTACTCCCGTATGACAAAAGCTGACCGAGATATTTAATATTAAAATCAAAGATCACATTTGCGGCCATACACAATTTGAAGGGCGAAATGTTTGCATTTGTACGCAGCTAAAAATAAAATATCGTCTAAAAAAAGCTCTTCGACGTTAAGATATTACGTGAAGACCATTTCTATGCATTTTATTATGAAAAATATTGATCAGTGTTTTTTTTAGCCCAAAGGAGCCATTAGTCTCAAAATGGGAGCCATTAGTTCAGAAGGGCTATTAGTCTCAAAATGGGATTTTGCGTGAATCATTATAAAAGTTTGAATCACTTCTCAAATTATTGCCACCAAATATTAGAGCCCTGTATTATATTTAAAGAAATTAAATAATGAAGAATTTGCATGAATGTATGCAGGTTTTTCGTTTTTCAAAAAACAACGGTACCCAGAGCCACCAAAGTTTGAATAACGTAGTCCTCCACCCGAATATAAACAACTGCAAGCCGAGAGATTTTGAATTTCGAATTTAATTTATTGTGTATTTCATATTTTGTAAAACTTTTTTATTAACAAACTGAATGATTTCAAAGCGAGCAATGGCAACACTGTACGGGGGGGGGAAACATTTTTATCTTCAGCGCACGAGAGTGTTTATTGGAACTTGTAAAAGTAGTCTGTTTTTAAATATTTTTAGCCCAAAGGAACGTAAGGTGAAATGCTCTCGAAACATGTGTGTGTATGTAAATGAAAAAAAAAAAAAACTGAAATCCCTAAAATCTAAAAGCTTTCATTTTATTTATTTAGGTTATTTATTTTTTTTACCTTTTCGGGAATTTTTTTTTTTTTTTTTTTTTTTTTTTTTTTTTTGTCAAAATAGAAATTTTATTCACAGAACTTTCGAGAATTCATGTTCTAGAATACACTAGCAACTTTTAAAATTTTTTGAACTAAAACGAAAAATATTTTTACTTAATGAATTTTGTACGATCACCAGGTCATCATTCTAAAGTAATAAAACTTCATGAGAATATTAATAACGTATTTTCAGACTGAAAAGTTTTAAATTACTTTTGTGAAAATTCTTTCGGTATACGCAATCCAACAAAATTTTAAATTAAAGATGCTAGTAAATCACAAAGCATTATCATTGAATGGTATTTAAGAGGAGAAAATTAATCTGTAATTTTGTATAAATTATTTATTAACCAACCCCTCAATGCAAATTGAAGATGATGTCAAAATTCGTAAGTTCTCAAATTAAATATATTGGTCAATTTTGGTAGTACGAGAATCAAACATTTTGTGTTTCATTTTATATAGCGAATACAAAATCTTCTTGAATATAAGTATAGAGGTATATTTAAATATTAGATTTCGTAATTTTTACAGTTGAGTCTTAAAATACCAAATTAAGAACTTTTGCGTTATTTAAAACATTTTTGTAAGAGAAAATACATGGCTACGACCAAAGTTTGCGAAAATAAAAGCTGAGTAAGGATTTTTGAAGACACGGTGTATGGTTAGCTCTGTACTAAATGCTTTGAATTCACAACCTTGACGGTTGGGAATTAATAACAATGTTGCCAGTTTGCGCAGCAACACTGAAATTAGATCCTATACGAGTGATAGGTCTTTTTCTGATAAACGCTCTGAGCGACAAGTTTAGCCGAGTTTAGACCTGTTCACGAATAGCCAGCTGTATTAGCATGAATTACATAATTTTTTATCATTAACTTATTCTTTACTGTGTTTTCATTCTCTTCCATTCATTAGGATAACAGCTAGATCATTAAAGTAAATAGAAGAACGAAATATTTTATATAACAAAATGATGCATGCTAAATCGCGTCAAAGCCTATCGTGGAACAAAAGCGGTCATACCACTTAGTTTTATTCATGTTTCTTCTCCACTAGTAGACTGACGATAGTTTAATAGACGTGAAAAATCTGAGAAAGAGATCCAGACTCGAAAACAGGATCCAAGCAAGCTAGATTACTGACAGTTATAACCAATCAAATTTTCTAATGTGTATATTTTCCTACTTTTCTGGCATATTGAATGCATACAACATATATAGTAAATTTGTAGAAAATATGAAATGTAAAAATGAAAGGAAAAGAGATTTTTAGCTTTGTGTTACTTTACATAAATCATAAGGGTAAACTAAGAAAAACAAATGTTGTAATACTACGCCAACCTGTAAAATGGATTCAAATAATATTAACGAAAACTTTCAACTATTTCCTATTAAGTTAAAATAAGATTTTAATTTATATGAAATAAACAAATTTGAAATAAAATAAATACGTGATGCGCATAGTATAAAAGTATTTAAAATGGAAATGGAAAACAAAATGTCGAATTTCGTGATCAATTGGAAGAAAACAACCTAATTTTAAACTTAAAATTAGCTCCCCCCCCCAAAAAAAGAAAACCTTAATTTGACGTAGATTTTTAAAATCGTAGAAATCTACACTAAACTAAAATTGCTTTGTTTGCTTAATTTTAAAACAAATTTCACAGTTTTAAGTGCGAAATGAAACAATATTATTATAAATTTTTGTTAAGTACTTTATATAACGTATCTTTATAAATAATATTTCTTAATATAGATACGGAATTCATAAAATTAACAACTGTTTAAACGTTTATTGTACCTTTCCAAAACTAAAATGCGTTCTGAATTCTAATTGCTCTTTTTAGGCTCAAGAAATGATTCTCAATATTCGGGAAGCTTTTAACGAACTTCTAGAAGAAAATGCTTGGATGGATAAAGAGACACGAGAAGTTGCCAGAGACAAGGTATTCCCATATTCCATTTTTAATCAGAAAGTTTCGTTTTAGCTCTTTGACGAGATAAAGCGGGAAAAAAAATCCTCTAAGATTAATAGAAAATTGTTGTCAGTTAGTTGCGTAGATTTGAAGAAGCTGATAAGAACAATTTTTTTTTTATGTATTGACTATAACATTGTCTTTATCTATATTAACTTAGGTGGATTTCTATTAATTAAACGAACTTAATTTTAATTGTTTTAGGCAAATGCCATGAATGAAAGAATAGGTTATCCAGACTTGTTGACTAATCCTGTAGAATTATCCAAAGAGTATGAAGGGGTAAGTAAAAATATAATGCCATCTTAGTGAAAAAATGTTGTTTGCACAAAGAATGTAATGACACTATTTCTCGAAAAACTAAGTTTAGCAAAATATGTTGATATTCCAGCCACAGACAATTTTGATTGTCCGCTAATGCAATGGTAAACTTCTAAAAATTGTTAGTTCATAGTGATTTAAATCAATGTGATTATTTCTGACATATTGTAAAATTAGAACGACGAAATTTCCGAAAACGTTATGCGATCAAATTTTGCGTGACATTTGGTAGAGCGCAACACAGATGGACGTGAAAATGGCACAGGCATAAGAAAAACGCGCCCTGCTGAGAATAAGTGGCACAGGGAATTTTCCAATGGCCGCGAAAGTACATAAGGTGAAAATTCGCCCCAGAAGACAGTGCCGGGGGGGAGAAGGAAAGGAATATATCGGAACTGGGAGAATTTTTTTACTTTATAGTCGATATTCTTCGTTAAGAAAGATCAGTAGTGAAGGTGTTCGTAAGATTTTCAATAAGTAATTAAGGTATGAAACGTGTACGCGAACTTTCATCAAAACAAAGCATGTTTAATCCGTTCGTTTCCCTTCCAGGTGAAATTTTGCGCATACTTTAAACCTGCCCAATTGCTTACTCAAAATAGGCACTTGTATTCTCTATATAAGCATTTAAGTTAATTATACTACATTTTGAGGTGTACCTATTTTCATAGTTGATAGCTATCAAGCCTGCTTTACGAGTAGGGAAGTCATCATAAGTATTAAATTTTTGTAAAATAAAATATGTCGGTTATAAAAAGACGATAATGACAACGAACTTCACATAAGCGATTAAAAATTAATTATCAAAATATTTTTAAATTCAGTAAATTTAAGTTAGGGGAATTTTATGTAGAAAATGTTTTTACTTGCCATAAAAAATTAAATACTTCCTGACGCTTTTGCTCTTTTACTTCTCAGTTTGTTTAATTAGGTCGCAACGCATATTTGAATTATCATAAAACGAGACTAAATTGTATATTAAAGGAGAGCAATATATCATTGGAAGGATGTAATAAATATATAGAATTGTTTTTCCGATACAAAAATTAATACTTAAGCATATACATATAATAAAAATAATTAAAACAAAAATATAGCTTAAATTAATAATAACTTCCCAGTTCTTAACTGTAATTGGGGTATTTCTCCTCTCTATTCTAAAAATAGTAATTGTTTATAAGAACATTTTATGAACTGCATTATTTCAAAATCAATCCGTTTCATGCCGTCTTACGTAATGCACAGCAATGCAGGTATGTTATAGTAAATCAATTTTTCGAGAACTGAAAATTTGTATCTCACGCTTTTTCTAAATCAGCAGTCCCTTCTTCCGTTTTGCCTTTGCTCTTTCTAGTACGCGCCTTTTTTTTTTTTTTTTTCTCTGTATCGTTCATTGTCTGAAAATGGGCTAAATTTTCAAAACTGCTGGATTGATGGAGCATCCATAAGGATGTGAATCAGATATTGCATCTACAGAATTGCTTTAGTAAAAATAAAAATTACGAGGTGAATCTACGGTCACATTTATCTTCAGGTGCCATCCTTTTATCTACGCAGCAATACAATGCTGTTAATACAATACCAATATAAGTTAATACAATACCAATCCATTACAGCTATTACATATATACGCGGTATTTTCCGTTATGCACCCGCCACATACTTGTGTGTGTGCTTGAATCGACAAATGATTTATTCCCTAGGTGGCGTTGTCGTAGGGTCTTGACATGTATTTGGCATTTCTTTCACAGCGCCAAAAAGAGTGGCAGGTGCATAAAGGAAAAGCACCAACAAAGTCTCAGATCTTAATTTAAGGATATAAAATTTCTACATTGTTTTGTTCTTTTGGCTACTATTGCATCCACCCGTGTATTTACAGTGATAATCATACTGGAAACGGAATGAGGTATAATTGCTTGGTTTCATAACCAAGCATGATAATTTATTTTCTTTCTTAGCTCCTTTTGCTGAGGTTTTTTTTTTTTTTTTTTTTTTTTTTTTTAACTAGTGTTACGTGCGTACGGATTCGTAATCGATTCAATGCATAGGCAATTGATGATAGCCTGGTAAAATTTATTTTCCCAAAAGAAACACGTTTCGGAATTTTTCACAAACGTACTCGTACAGCTCTTCTCAATATCCCACACCATAATCAGTATTTACACTTCATTTTTTTTTTAACTGCCGTGTGCTTTATTCTTAGCCTTGCGCTACTGCAAGAGCTGGAAGTGGTGGCCATTTCATTATGGAAGCACTTAATAGGTAGCCACAGTTGTTCCTATGAAGGGACGGACAGTTATATTCATGCCTTCTCCGGGATTCGAACTCGGGCCCATCGCTACAGCAGTCAAGGTCACTAACCACTATACAGGGTGGGCAGCTACACATCAAATTACTAAGAACGTTAAGTACAACACAATGCAAAGCTTACCTAAAGGGCGAAGCTCGCACGGAGATCGCTCAATATTCCGAATTCAACTCTGAATTAAAACCTGAGAGCTGATGCTCTATCCGCTCTTAGGTAGTTTTTCCAATGCTGTCGAGAAATTTCTAGTGATTGCCATTTCTCGAAATTACCGGAAAGCATACACGGTTAAAGTTAGATGTAAGGGCCGGATACGGTTTCAGTTACATATAGGGATAAATTACTTATTCAGTCACAGTGCCAATTACAGCTATACAGCGACCGCATCCAAATGCAGCCTATGGCGACTTTGGGCGATTAAGTTAGTCGCAAAAGCCATCTCCAGCTTCGCGATATCTTGCCAATTTAACGAGATAGGCATTTAGCTCATGTTAAATAGACTTATGTCTGTAATCTTATTTCTCCTGCAAAGCCTCACATTTCTTAGGGCCGTTCATGTTACATCCGTAACAATAGATTTTATGTTTAATTGCTTTTTGGAAATATTTTCAAATGCATAAAAAGGGTATTTGTCTCGCAACACAGTTTTTCGTTGATTCACTTTAAATGTCGTCTACTGTAAATCCGTTGCTTCACTTTTTATTCGAGTCACTGTTGCCTTCGGCAGAATGGATCCATCAAATTTAATCAGACTTCTACTGATAAACAAACTAAGCTATTTAAGAGCGATAGATGCAGTTACTGAGAATATTATTTTTTTACTTTTCTGTCTGATTGTTTTAAATAAAACTGCATTTAATTCATGATAAATCTAATTTTAATTTTTTTATAGAAACGCATTATATATGCTTTCACTTTTCAAATATACAGAAGAATAGAATGTTCCCATGTTATTATTAAATGTATATTCAAAATTATTCTCTATTTAACCTGGATCATTTTTATTGATAATCTCTACTGATAAACCATATTTGGCCAACCGTTAAAATGCAAATATTTTGAAGGTTTACTTTGGGGGGGGAGGGTGTTAGTTTTTAGTGAGAGCAGTACCTGCTATCTTCTGTATCGCTGAGGCCCAATCTTAAGGTGTGACGTCGAGCTATGGGCTGCAGTTTATTATGTTTAGCAAATATTTACAAATATAACCTGGGATAAGAAAGACTGCGTACTTTTTGTAATATTCATTTAAAATAATCTATGCAGGCAGTTTCCTATATAAGACGGTACCGAGACCAAATGTAAAAATAGATAAAAAAAAAAATGCCTTTTGGAATATGTTTTACAGGGAAATATTTGTGCTGTTAAATCTTAAGCCTTAAAATGCAATGCAAGTTAATCAGAACACCTAAAGACGGGGATGAAGTTTCATTTCGAACGAAGTTTTTTAATCCCATAATTCCAAAGGTGACCGTTTGCATGAATGGATAAGTATCGATACTCAGATACATAATTTATTTATATTACTAATACCCACTCTTCAACCATATGAAATAATTAGGCTCACGCCTACACATCCTGTAAGTCAAAAAATACCCGTACATAATACAGCAAGTGGGATGAAGTTATTCAAGGTTTAACGTTCTGGTGTCTGACTACTGACCTTGCGAATATTCATTGAAAAACAAAAAATAATTTATCAAAACGAAACTGGCAGTTGCTCTAATTTCAGCCCAAAAAAGAAAATGTTTCACGTAGCGATTTTTAAGCAGATAAACGTTCCCTCTATACGTAAAATTCTGTAACTTATTTATTTAACAGCCATTGATTTCAGTACCTGCTATGATAAGAGTTAAATTCAAAGAATAAATGTTAAATAACTGAGGGAAGTAAAAATTAAATGTATATTTTTAAAAGGGGTGGGGAGTCTACTAATTTGACGTAAGGCATTTGTGTGGTTTGTGCGTTTTCTGATTTAAATGAAAGATTTTGAATTGAATTCTCTTGTGAGAATTACAGCAAAAAAGCTACTACATTGTTTTCAACATTAAAAATTTTTCCTATTTCATTTCATTTATCTTTATGCATTTTGCTCCGAAATTGCTTTTTAACTGAATTTTCTTCTGCCTTAAAAGAAAGTTCTAAAAATATGCTCTCAAGTTTTGAGCAATTATTTAAATAATTTTATCTTTAATTACTAATATATAAATTCTGGTGCCAGAAATTTTAAGAAATAGTTGTAATTACAAGTATAATTTCTTTTTGCTTTTCTTTAAATTTCAGCTTTATATGTGCAAAACATTTAAATGAAGTAATAAATAAGAAAAATATTCTAATCGGCAAAATATTTTTTCTCAAATGTGTTGAAGTAGTAAATAATAAGGTAACTTCATTTCTGATTAAAATGCGATAGTTTACTGTTAAGAATTTTGTATATATGTAAATAGTTTTAGTGAAAGTATGTGTAAAAATGTAATATTTCATGTATATTGTAATATGAAATGCTTCGAGAAAGCGAAGTTGCATCCAAAAGACAGGGGCAGGTCCGTTTAACATTTAGGTAAATGGCTAAATCACCAATCGTCAAGGTGGAAATTTTAGCAAGAAACTGATAAAAGTGATAAAAATAGGCGACCATTTGGCGACATTTTGGTCCGATTCCTGTATAACTGTAATTGTCCTAAATGCCTGTGTAGCTGTAACTGTATCCGGCCCTATATGTAACTGCAACTGTTAACGTCTTCCAGCAATTTCGAGAAATCAATCCTGGAGTTAAGACCGGAGAGGGCACAGAGTTCTCAGTTTATGATGACGTCCCGCTTGTCACGTGCACACCTATGTCAAATGTAATTATTTTGTAAATACTTTGCATCTGCAATCTAGACTTATAGCGTTTTCATCTTTTATTTACTTTATTTGTATCTTCATTGAATGTCATTGCATAACAACTTAGGATGAAATGCTATAATAATTTCTTAAACCTGCGATGTAAAGGTCCTCTCCTGCATTGTCAATGCCTCTCTCCTTGGAGAATCGCAGTCCAGAGACTTCACCGTCACGAGCGCAAGGGTCACCATTTCAACCGAGTCGGAATAAGTCACACCATCTGTGCGATATTATCGGTCTATAGCGGAACTCAGAACTTGAAAGTTCTGAGTTTTTAGTTTAGAGTTGCTTTCGAAATATTGTGCGAGCTTACGAGGCATTTCATGTTACATTATACATGGCATACTACGATTTTAAGCATAATTTCATTAAAATTGTTTACATATACACAAAAATCGTAACCATATATTAAAATTGAGATTAATTTTAGGGTTTGGAAAAATAGTGTGTTATTATATATTTTTAAGTGTTATAGTGAAAAAACTTTATTATTACATGCTAAAATTTGAGTTATTTTTAAAAGCTTAATAATAAAGCTTATGGCATACATTCATTTTCATTTTAAGGAACTTAAGTTATTGTACAGTTTAATAGTTTAGCAAAACCATTTGTATATATTTTCAGTTGGTTATTCATGACGACTTATTCCTGGTGAACATACTTAATGTTTTTGAGTTCGAAGCAATCAAGAACCTTAAGAAGCTAAGACAACCAGTCAACAAGGACAGGTAAATGTTTATTTCTTTTCAAATATTACGTTAATATTATATATTGAAAGAACTTTGAAATATGCCAAAATATTTAATTATTTTATTTAAATAAAAAATTTTAAAAGTATTGCAAACTACAAGATTAATACTCAGTTTCCATTTGACTAACAAGGCTTCCAAGTTTAATTACGAATACCATAATCCAATTTTTCATCTATAAATTCATGCAATTCAGTGAGACTACTTACACTAATATACAAAATGCAAAACTTAGTGGCGACAACTCCTTTTTCAAACCTAGCAAATCGCAATTCTATGGTTGCCATTTTTCTCTGCTTACAGTAAACTGTTTGTGTGATTCAACTCAAAAAATACTACTTTCCGAACTGTAATAAACCAGGATTTGAATACAAGCCATTTTAAATATAAGCATATTGAAGGCTGAACCCGAATCATTTTCTGCGGAAGCAGGAAATCCAAAAGATGATGGACGACTAAGTATCTTTAGATGAAAAAAGAAGTATGATCTAAGCACAGAAACAGTCCTCGATTTCAAATAGTTATAAAGTTAAATCGTATTAGAATACTCTTATAAAGAGTAATTTCAGGTAGATTGACTTAAAAAAAAATTTCCCTGTCTAATATCTCTGTACACTGCCCCTGCCATCAGAAGGCAGCAGAATTCAAGCTGGCGTCCCCCCCCCAGCAACGCTGCTGGTAGAATTTGAATATGCTAATGACTCTGCAGTGTGCCTTTAAGAAGCAAATTAAATGTAGAATATTCTCCTGCTTACAAACCCAGTTTGAAGTGCTACAACAATTTCATAGATAAATTCTACATTTGCGATTAGAGAAAGGGATATTCAAACCGTTAGATCCATCGGTTTCGAGCAAGATATTGATCTGTTCGCTGGCAGCAGCCAACGAGCTGCATATTCCTGGGCCGAAGCGCTATCCCAGTCTCGAGTCAGAAAAGCCTTTTCCGTAGCTTCAGGTAAATGAAAGCCTTTTCCGTAGCTCCAAGATCTTTATGTAAAGAACTAGCTGGAAGTTACATGTCCCGCAAATCACAATAAGCAAGATCATACGCAAACTTTAACCCAAAACTTACTCCCGAAAGGCAATAAAATATAATTTGAAATTTGAAGAAATATCCAGGTTAATGAAAAATGATGATAACTTGCTGTCAAAGTTAATTTTAAATATGGAGAGACCTTCCACTTAACTCTAAAATCAACAGCCACATTGTGATATGAGAAGTTTCACAATCAGTATGGTGTTGGACTTGACTATCTTACTATAACTAACATGTTTTTTGTCGAATTAGAGCAGATTGTGCATTGCGCGTTTATCTTTGAAGGACAAACTGTCACCGACTTAAACTTCCTGGAAATGTAAATCAAATGGTTTACGTAACTGGAAAAGAAACGCTCCAATTTAAAATGTTAAATTAGGCAAAAAGCAATCTTTTATTGCCATAGGCCTTTTTATTAGCTTTATCAGATATAGATACTTCTTCAGAAGCAAAAGCAATTTTTATCAAAAATATTTTGCTCCTGAAAATAGGAACCTACGTCAGATCGCTTTCGAAATCTATAGATTTTTATTCAAATCTAAGGTGGCTATTTTGCCTAATAAGGGTGATTACTTTTGACTTTTTTCGCACTTTTTTTTAACAAGATTAGTCAGCGCAGAACATCTCACCGTCCTCGAATTACTCAGCTCGCACCATCCAATCAGATGAACATGTCGAGCTGAATAAAATGATTGCGCGTTCTGCAAATGGTCTCCATGGTCACTGAACTGAAGAGCTCGTGACTTATTCCTTTTGAGAGACATTAAGGCTCCTTTTGGGCTGTTCGTACCTCCATTACCCATAATCCTAGAGGAGGCGCAGAAAAGTATGTCTGAAGTTGTAAATTGGACTATCCCGAATAATCTGTAGAAAATCTGATCCGAACTAGGTTGCTCCATTGATGTTTGCCAAGTAACAGAAAGGGATGTGTTATGCCAAAGGGATGTGTTATGTGTCAAGCATGTGTTCCGCCAAACAGTGCCAGATAAAAGTTTATTATTTTGATGCAACTGTAGCCTCCACTGTGTAAAAATATTCCAATAATGTTAATTTTTAGATATCAATACTTAATTTCTAGATCTGCTAGAAATAGCTATATTTGGAGGAGCCTCGTTGTATTTGCTCCTCCAAATATAGGGTGGCTAATTTGTGCTCGCTTTCTAAAACAAAGGAAACAGACATATATTTATACTTCTCAAGAACTTTTTTAAAAATTATGCCACGATGTATGAAAATTGAAGCATAATATTGCGATATTAAACATTACTATAAATATAAAAATAAAAGCAAAATTTAAATCATTTCTAGGATATACAAAGATTGTCGTCGCATCTTTTCATCCAACAAGCTTTGCTGTTAGACTCTTAATAACACAGGCTTTACCTCCACTTTCTTGTTTAATGACTTTACTCATTAAATGATTTAAACTGCTTTTCTGTACCCGAAAAATACGATTGTGAAAACAGATTAGGAAAAGTAAAAAGTAATTGACATCTTACGTCGCATCGTCATCAGGACTTGGTTCAACGAAAGAACTCTCTGCTGAGGATACGGCGAAAGATGTAAATTACCTTTCCGTTTTCTATTGTTTTTCCCTCATATTTTGTTTAACTGTTTTCACACCTTTCATACATTTAGTAACTATGCTTTTCATATATATTTTGCATATCTGAATTATTGATTCAGATATCAATTTAATATATAATTGCTACATATTGATTCAGATATCAATTTAATATATAATTGCTACATATTGATCCAGATATCAATTGATATGATTGAATCATTGATAGGTTTTGCATTCTGAGTCATTGATTTATTCTGAATTTAATATGGGACGGATTTTAAATTTTTAATTTAATTTATTATGAAATATTACCATTATTTGTTTTATGCAACTGGATTAGATTTTGAACTCATTTTTACTTTGTATATAAGCATATACGTATATATATAGGTATATGTTCTCAATTCCTGGACTATCTCAGTCCAGCCATAGTTATCGTTGCCTAGGAAAATTTTCAAGGACTGGACCTTAGCATTATGCCCCTAGCTTTACCGTTAACAAGCTAGTCTTCAGTTGTTACCGGCAAATGATCAACTTCAAAGAGCTTAACTAATAATCTGCTTCACGGATAAATTTTCTTACTTGATGCATATTAACTTTCTCTCTTTCGTTTCACAATACCACAGTTCAGTTTGCAAATGTCTTTACAATAAGAACCGATTGTTATATAAAAATTTTCTAAAAGTAATTTTTTTAAAGGTGGACTACAGAGCCAGCTGTTGTGAATGCCTTTTATAATCCTAACAAAAATGACATAGTCTTCCCGGCCGGTATATTGCAACCTTTGTTTTATAGTCATTACTTTCCAAAGTAAGTTTTTCCTCTTATATCAAACTACTGTATTTTATTAAATGTCTTCCATTCAATTTACCTCTTATATCAAACTATTGTATTTTATTAAATGTCTTTCATTCAGTTTACCTCTTGTATCAAACTATTGTATTTTATTGAATGTCTTCCATTCAATTTACCTCTTATCAGCTCCTTATATAGTTTCTCACATCAGATAATTATAAGTGAACATACAATGGCTGAAATAAAAAATGAATTCCCGTATGGGATTCCTTTACGAACATCAAGTTTAAATGTGCTAATAACTAAGGGTCGTACAGACCGTGATAAAATTTTGAAATCATGAAGATATTGAACTCCAAATTTTGCGAATATATGCTACAGGTACACACACTAGTGTGCAAAAATAAAACGATTTCCACATTGTGTAGAATTTCAGAAAAACTAATGAACAGATTTTAATGGTAAATAAACCTTTAAAACAAAAAAAAGGATGTACTATTCCAAAGCAATTTTGTGTACACATAATTATCAGTAAAACTCATAGTAGAGGAATGTTCAAAATCTACGTTGTGATATCGAATTAAAAATGAGTTTAATATGAGGTATGGTCCCCCTCTTAGAGCCAGACAGATGGCACAGCGTGATTCGCAGTTGATCTCGCTCCTGCAAAATCACAGTTTTCAACTCCAGAATGGTTCTTGAATTTGCTTCTCAAGAAAGTCCCAGACATACTGTATATGTTTAAGGTCAGGAGATCTGGCTGGCAAATTCATGTTGCGATTATCCTCACTTTTGAGGTAATCGCCGACCAACTACGCTCTATGTGGACTAGAGTTTTAGTCCATTAATTAAGACCAACTAATTAAACCTAAGACCAACTGCGCCTCTGAACAGCCGACCATAAGGCTCTAAGATCTACTGTCTATACTTCTTAGCATGACTGCTAAGAGGTAGCCTTTGTTAAACACATACAGGAGTGTGCGGCCGTCCGCATAATCCCTACCCAACCATTACACCTCCACCACAATAATCTTTACTCTGATGAACGACGGATAGTATAATGTCCCAGGCTCTCTCCAGATGCAGGTGCACCTAGGGTCAATGTCCAGGCTGAATCTCGAATCATCTGTAAAAAGTACGGTGCTCAGCTGAAGTCTCGTCTAAAGTGTATTTTGTCTGCACTATGCTAAGCTCACTCTCTTGTATGCTTCAGTGAGCATGACGCAAACAAAGGGTCTTCTGGTGTACAGCCCTACGTCATAAAGCTTTCGGGCAACTGCAGACCGTGAAACTCGAGTTCCAGTGGCAGCATACAGCTCACGTGAGAGTTGTAAAGCTATAGCATTCCTGTGTCCCCTACACTAAAAGTGCCAAATAACGATCCTCGTTAGTCGTTGCGGAGCTTGGTTGACCTTATCCAGGTCTTCTCCATGTAGGTGTCCTGAAACTGTTTCCTCAAACTGCAGATAACGGTGGGAGTTACAATGAGCTCTACAGCCACCAGCCCTTGTGATTTACCTGGTGATTAAATGGCCTGGTGTAACTTGTGATTGATTCTCCATCTCATTTCGTCATCCATTACGTTCGTGGCTACTCATTTTTACTTGGTAACTTATAAATTTTACACTATTCTTGCGAGAAACATGGCGAATGTCGTAAAGAAGTACGAACATACAAACTGCCCAAAACCCTCCTCGTACGCTTATATCCCATCCACAATCACAGCTTCGAAGGACATGTATGTGTCGCTTACGTATTCGACTCTGAATATTTGTATAATTCTTCGGCAGCACAATTAGTGCTTTGGGTTCAATACTTTTCGTAAAAACAGAAAAAAATTGTAAATTCTTTTAATTTTGCACACGATCATTTTTATATGATCTGTTTAACGAATTTTACTAAATGCTTGAAGATGAATTAATGGACATACTCTGTGGAAGATACACAAGATTTTCACGGAATACAAAGCTTCAGGTAATGTTATCTATATCAACACAGCCAGTTTATTTCTCCTTCTGTATATGTATTTCAAAAATATAAGCAAAAAAACTCATCTATGAGAATTAAATGTGTAAATCTATAACTGTATTAAAAAATTTAAATCTTTGCTGAACACACTTCCATCAGATGGAATTGTTCACCGAAACGTTACTCTCAATAAATAAAAGAGCTCGAATGTTACATTTTCTCGTTCAACAATGTCTCGAGGCAAGAACAGAGCTTATATTTCCTTTTCTTCATTGTATATATTTCTTCGAAACCTTTACATAATTATTGTATTCTTTAATTTAATAACTTAATAATAGAAGTATTCGAGTTTAGTACTTCTGTTTGTCTCAAAACTAATCCCTCTTTTTAAAAAAAATGTTATAGTAAATTAGAATTTGCAATGAAAATGTTTACACAGTTTTAATCTTGACTTCTACAATTAACAAGTAAATAAATCATAGACTTTGGTGGATTCAAATCCTGGCGAAAAGTTTGGCTGCATGAGCGTTTTCATGGTTTTCCCCATCTGTAATGTGGATATGAATCAGCTTCCTTTAAAAAACTTTTCACAGAAGTATTCCTGGCTGTTTCGTGATCTTGGACATAATTAACTAAATAGATAAAAAGTCACAAACTTGTGAGGAATTAAATCAAGGAACGAGAATGTTTGTAAAAGTGCTACAACAATGTCGTTTGTAGCGAAAGGAAATTATTTTCATTCCTTTTCATAGTAGTTTTCATTAAGGAGAAATAGCGTCTCTTAACACAGAATCGTCCATTTACGTATTTACTTTATTTAAAATGTATTTCTAAGCTGAAATTTTATTCATAAATAATAAGCTTTAATGTATAGCTGAATCAAATGCATAAGAATCCTTTAAGATTAAAAATTGTTGAGACTTGCCATTGAACTACTGCTAATATGATAATTCGAGAGTTTCGTAATTCAAGACCTCGACCAGAAGAAATAAGAGTAACTTACGTGGTTGGAATGATCCCCCCCCCAAAAAAAAAAAAAAATCTGAAGGGAACATCACGTGACCTTGTACGACTTGTTAAATTATGCACACTTTTTCCCGCACTTCATTTAAATTTATTTCCTGGAATTATTCGAACTTGGAATAATTTCTCGAGACAAATTGAAAATGACAAAACTGCAGATTTTGAAATTAAACATCCCTGCCATTTTTTGTCGGAAGAGAGTCAAACTTCTTATAATTTTATTTTTTCATATCGAGTATAAAATGTTTCCAGATATAATCATGGGAACCAGGAGACTGCATTAAAAGTTAAATTTCGTTATTTTTTTTAATTATTTTAGTTTTAATTCTAGGCATTGTTAAAACATGAATATTTTCGTTATTTAAAACACTTCTGTAAGAGTAAGTATATGACTGTGACCAACGACTGCGTAAATAAAGGCTGGGTAAGGACTTTTAAGCTGAGTAAGGGGATATGTATGTGTATATATATAAAAAAAAAAAAAATACTGCGTTGAACTATTTCTTGGAGCCACAGCTCCTGATAACTTTTAGCGAGCTCTCTACAATATTTCTTCCTATTATATATATATATATATATCGATATATATATATATATATATATATTAAAAATTGTCCAGATGGATTCAGGAACGCATATTTCTTCTGAAATATGATTACCGAAATTTTTCACGATTATAATCTTCACACAAGGAAATAAAAAAAAAGTAAATAATATTTAAGCTCAGGATTTATTTGAATCCTGAGAATTAAATTCTATAAAACTACCAACAACAAAAAATGAGCTTGTGCCAAACAGCTTAGCAACAACTCAAACATATGTACACTGCTCAAAAAAAAAATGGGACAGTCCTATATCTCCCGATCTACTGGGCCGATTGACAAAATTCAAATTGCGTTCTTCATGTCTCGAAAGCGCGACTTAGGATATATATTAGATTTATATATAGCACTATTCTAAAATAGGTATTTTGACGCAAAATCGGACTTTATCTGAAATAACAGACCAATTTTTTTTACATATTTCGATTCTACGACTCAAATTACGCCTAAATATGAAATTTTGTAAAATTTGGAGCGAAATTTACGGAGAAATTCACAAATTTATGTTGGCACTTTTTTGTCAGTTTGCGCCAAGAATACTTTACTTGGCGAACTTCTTAATATATGGCAACCTAGTTTCCTTTCCCGTGAGAGGAAAAAAAGTCACCATCGTTCCTTTTTTCCAAATAATATTCTTTATATTATATTTTTAATTATAACTTATTATTTTAAGTAATTTTTTTTTTTTCGAATTTCATTTTAATTGTTTAAGTTGCACGTTTTTTTTTTTTTTTTTTTTTTTTTTTTTTTTTTTTCGAATAACTGTTTTAAAAATTTCTATTTACCTATTCGAACTGCGTAAATAAAGGTGCAGCGTTTATTATTATTATTTTTTTTTCAAATAGTTTTCTTTATATATATTTTTCGTCATAGTTATTATTTTAGGTCATTTTTAAATTTTTATACTTTTATTTTAATTGTTTGTGTTGCATTGTCTCTTCAGATAATTGTTTTAAAATTTTCTATTTATTCCTTCGAACTGAGCATTTTAAATATATTTATTAGTATCAATTTTCCAAAATTTGATTTTATTTATTTGAACTGCGTTTCTTTCGGAAGAATACTTTGCAACCCAGACTACGATGCGTTTGAAAACTGCATACTATATTAAAAGAGAAAATACAGTAAAGCACAGTTTTACACGCCTTTCAATGTTCCGTTCAGAAAAAAATATATATAATAAGAGAGATGTATAACCGATATTTTAACTTAGGATGACTTGCATACACTGCTTTAAACAGTTTTATCATTGTGCCCATTGCTTTACACAATTTTATCCTACATTTGGTTTCTTAAAATGTTATTCATATTTTAGTCAAATATTTTATTTTTGAAATCGCAAGAATCAAATATCATAAGATTGAAAAGTTTAAAATTTAAAAAAATACGAATACTAAATTTTACGAAAAAATTTCTTTTCTT